CCCAGAGCCACCTCAACCCTTTGCAGCACTTCTGTGGGTCCCACTCAATCTGCTTTCACTCTGCTCTGCTCCAGCCCCTGTGCCCTGCCAGCCCTGCCAGGGGACTTGGGACCTTTGAGCCCTTCCAGGGAAGCTGGAGCTTCTCCAGAGCCTGACAACAGTCACACTCTGTTCAGGTGGCAGAGCCAGACCTGCTCAAGGCCTGTGCAGGGGCTGATGTCCTCCTGTTCGTGGTGCCACACCAGTTCATCCGCAAAGTGTGTGAGCAGCTCAAGGGCCACGTGAAGAAAGGAGCCGTAGGGATGTCACTCATCAAGGTGAGAGCAGGAGCAACTGGGGCCAAGGGGAGGGAGCTGGAAGCAGCCTGGCTTGGAGGATGGGATTTTGGAGCAGGCACAGCTCCAGGGTGATGGGAGGGTGATGGAGAGTGGGAAGCGAAGCGAGGGCAGAGTCCTCGTGGGGGTTTGGAGGTGTTGGTGGAGAAGGGTGAGGGTACCTGGGGGGTCTCAGGTGCAGCTCAGTGTGTCAGGATCAGTCAGAGCACTGCAGCACAGGGAGTGGTGGGATTGGGATGAGGACAGATGTCCAGGAGGGGCAGGAGCTCATGGCCTAGCTGACAAGGTGGTGGTGCCACAGGTTGGACTCGATGATCTCAGAGGTATTTCCCAACGTAATCGATTCTGTGATCTCTGCCCCTGGTTCCCTCCCAGGGCGTGGACGAAGGACCAGATGGGCTGAGGCTGATCTCAGACATCATCCATGAGAAGCTGGGAATAGAGATGAGTGTCCTCATGGGAGCCAACATTGCCAGTGAGGTGGCAGAAGAGAAGTTCTGTGAAACCACCATCGGTAAGGGCCAACATCTCTCCTCGTTAGCTTTTGCTTGTGAGGAGCAGGAAGAGGCAGAGGGGTGAGCATGGAGCAGCTCAAACCCCTCCTGCCTCTGCCTCCTTTCCCTGGGAAGGCAGGGAACTCCACAGGAGCAGGCTGAGCTCATTGCCAGGGTTTATGATGGGATCACTTCCTTCATCAACAACAGTTGTGTGGCTAAAGGCTCCTGCCAGCACAGCCTCAGCACCAGGCAGTGTCCCTGGCACAGGGACAAGGGGTGGACACCAAGAGGCCCTTTAGGAATGAGTTCCATCCTTCATTTCCTTGGGCTCCATGCGATGCTCACCTGGACCTCACGGTATTGCCAGCCAAGGCTGCTTGGAAGTTCATGTGGTGACTGTTCTGACATCCTCCACACTGCTGGGAACTGTGCACAGAGCCAAAACCAGCACAACAGTTGGAAATTGTGGGATTCAAAGTGTGTTTGAACAAGAGCAAACACAGAGCACAGGAGGCTGCGGAGGTGGAACAGAGCCCACGACCCTGCGAGCGCGCGGGACGCCGCGGGGACGGGGAGGGCAGAGGCTCCAACCCCAACAATTGATGGTGCCTTTGACCTACTGGGCATGTGCTTTGTGTCTTGCTTGACACAGCAGGAGGGATTGTCCCTGTCTTCTGGGAATGCCAAGGTTGAACGTTGCTTATCTGTCAGGCGATGTGTGCATGGTGCTTTGTGGACCTGCAAATGTTTAGCAACGTCCATAGGTTGGGCAATAGGTTCCTCTCGCTGCAGGAGCTGCAGGAGGGAGCATGGTCCTACCTCAGGCTCTTCCCCATCATCTTCCTCCTCCTCCCTTTGCCTCCTCAGGCTGCAAGAACATGAAGCATGGGCAGATGCTGAAGGAGCTGATGCAGACACCCAACTTCCGAGTGTCGGTGGTGCAGGAAGCTGACACGGTGGAGCTCTGTGGAGCTCTCAAGGTGGGTTTGCAGGGCTTGGCCACAGAGCCTGGAGGTCTGCAGGGCCCTTGGGTAATGGATAAGAGCTGAGGGATGAGGGTTTGAGTCCCATGTGCTGCAGATGGTGATGAAGGACCAAGGGAATGGTCTGAAATGACTTCAGGGAAGAGTTTCGGTTGGACAGGAGGAAATGGCTCTTCACCCAGAGGGTGGTTGGGCACTGGAACATCTCCCAGTGGATGCCATGGCCTGGGGGTGGCAGTGACTGTGGGACAGGCCAGGCTGGGTGTGACAGTGAGAGCTATACTGGCTGTGAGAGATTGGACCTAGTGGGACAAGGTGGTGATGGGTCAGAGGTTGAGTTCAAGGTGGGTCCCAGTTGGGGTTGGGTGGTCAGATGGTCTAGTGGCCTCATGGAGAAGGCATCAACATCCAGAGCTGGGGGGCATGGATTGGAGTCCCAGTGGGTCGTGCTGCAGATGCTGGAGAAGGACCAAGGGAATGGTCTGATGTTGCCTCAGGGTAGGTCTAGGTGGGTTCTTCACCCAGAGGTTGGTTGGGCAGTAGAACATCTCCCCAGTTGGCTGTGGGATGGGACAGACTGGATGGGACAGTGGGTGGCAGTGAGGACCTAATGGCTGTGACAGACTGTACTTACTGGACAAAGTGGTGATGGGTCAGAGGTTGAGTTCAAGGTGGGTCCCAGTTGGGCTCAGTGACTGGGTGACCCAGTGGCCTCAGCTGGGGGGTGTGGGTTTCAGTCCCAGTGGGTCATGCTGCAGATGTTGGAGAAGGAGCAAGGTCTGAAGTTGCCACAGGGAAGGTTTTGGCTGGACAGGAGAAAATGGTTCTTCACCCAGAGAGTGACTGGGCACTGGAACAGCTCCCCAGGTGGCTGTGAGACAGGACAGGCTGGATGGGACAGTGGGTGGCAGTGAGGACCTAATGGCTGTGACAGACTGGACTTAGTGGACAAGGTGGTGATGGGCCAGAGGTTGAGTTCGAGATGGGTCACAGCTGGGACTCAACAATTGGGTGGCCCAGTGGCCTCATGGCTCAGAGAGCAGCGTCCAGAGCTGAGGATCATGGATTCGAATCCCAGGTGGGTGGTGCTGCAGATGTTGGAGAAGGACCAAGAGAATGATCTGAAGGTGCCTGTTCAGCTGCTCAGGGGGATGAAGGTCATTGGCACAGCCTTGGGATCACACAGGCAGCTCATGGACACTCAGCAGAGCCCTGAGCTCTGCTGGAACAGATCCCTCCCCGTTCCCCTTGTCTTTGTCTTCCAGAACGTGGTGGCCGTGGGAGCTGGTTTCTGCTTGGAACAGATCCCTCCATGTTCCCCTTGTCTTGCAGAACGTGGTGGCCGTGGGAGCTGGTTTCTGTGATGGACTTGGCTACGGAGACAACACGAAGGCTGCTGTGATCCGCCTGGGGCTGATGGAGATGATTGGCTTTGCCAAGCTCTTCTGCAAGGGCCCTGTCACCTCTTCCACCTTCCTGGAGAGCTGTGGGGTCGCTGACCTCATCACCACCTGCTACGGCGGCCGAAACCGCAAGGTCGCTGAGGCCTTCGCCAAGACTGGGAAGGTGAGCAGGGCTGGGAGCAGGGGAT